AAGTGTCTGGGAAACTCAGAGGATGCTGTGCAGGTAAACACGTTGTTATGGCTCCAGTAAACAAACGAAGTCCCTGCATGTGCGTGGCCTTGCGGAGGGGGCAGATGAGAGGGTAGACAGGACCTCTGCCCTGTGGGGGACTCTGCACCGTCTTAAGGAATGGCGTTTTCAGATGCCGGGAGGACAAGATGGTTAATGTGATGTTCTTAACATAACTACGGATCTTAGAGCTTCCTTCTGTGAGCGCTGCTCTCTGTCAAGGATGACAGTATGGGCTGGGAGGGGAGGGAATGGGAGGCTGGCTATCTGAGGAGCAGTAAGCCCTCATGGACAAGGACAGGGGTGTCTGGGTACCGTGTTCTCTCCTGCAATTCCTTTTCCTCTCTTCATGACAATAGATGGCCGCCCGGAGCTGAGGAGAGGCCTCCAAAGTTGTTCCTTAGGTTGCGAGTTAGGGAGCTGTCAGACCCTGTGCAAGGGAGCTCCTGAGCTTCGAAGGGAGGTTTTTCCTAGCTCAGTTTCAGGCTGTGGTGAGGTGGAGCATCCTGTAAGAAGACATGACAGAGTTCCCTCAGGAGGCAGAAAATCAGTCAGGAAGGGGATATTCCTCCACAGATATGCTACAGTCACCGACTTCCCCTCCAGCTTCTCCTCCCAGAGTCCCACTGGGCTGAGGGAGGATTCATCAGCGTGGAGCATCCTGATGGTCCAGTCCCTCCTCACTAGTGCCGAGCTGGGGACCAGGCCTTTACCACGGGAGCCTTGGGGCTGGTTTATACCCAAACAGCCGGTGTGGAGGGCAGACTCAGCGGTCATTTCGCAGTGTAGCTGGGGGATTTTTGTTTTAACTAAGGTTTTGTTCATTGTTTTGGTACTAGGAACTGAGCTCAGGGCTTCACTCATGTTAGGTCTGCTTTCTATCATGGGCTACACCCCCAGGCCAGTTAGTTTAGAAAACTAAAATTAAAACTAAAGTAAGTGGTATGACATTGCCTACTTTTTGAAATAGTTTCATATAGACTTGACCTTTAAATCATAGAATATTAATATTTTCATATTGAATTTGAAATTCATCATTTGATGTGAATTATCTTAGTTATTACATGACTCTAAAGAGATCTTTTAGATTGCATACTTAGGTAGTGGCAAGGTGTATATCGGGAGGTAGACGTTGGCCTGTGTGTGGTTTTTATCTTAAAATGGGGATGTTTAGACTTTTACAGCAGACAAAGAGTTTCTTCCGGTCCGTCCAGGTTGGTGTGTTGACTGAGAGAGGAAGCAGCGTGAGTCAGGTGGCCCGGTGGCCAGCATGCTTGTGTCCTAGGGAACCTGGTGGCCCGATGGCCAGCGTGTTTGTGTCCTAGGGAACCTGGTGGCCCGGTAGCCAGCGGGTTTGTGTCCTAGGGAACCTGGAGGCCCGATGGCCAGCGTGTTTGTATCCTAGGGAACCTGGTGGCCCGATGGCCAGCGTGTTTGTGTCTTGGGAAATCTCCCTGCAGGAATGGATGGGCTTCTAAGGTGCAGATGAGAATTCAGAGACAGGAAGGAATTTCCGTCACTGGGTGATGTGGGTACAGACGGGGATAGTCATAGTGAGAGGATTCAGTCAGTCTCAGAAGGACAGGTTTCAGCTTTCTCTTGTCCCCAGGTCCTAGTTTAATGCATCAGATCATTTGTGTTTAGATGACATGATGCATGAGTGAAATTATCTAGGGGCGTGATGAGGTGAAAGGGAAGAGCCCCTGGGGATGGGGATCTGTTCAAAACACACTGTGTACTTGCATGGAGATAGCCTTATGTGACCCAGTACAAGGAAAATTTTAGAATTGGGAAGAAATAAAGATCAGTAGAGAAGAGGAAGTTAGATCTAGAGAAATCCTCCGTTCCTGCCTCCTGAGGGCTGTGAAGAGCCTTCTACCAAGTAGGAAATGAATTCTTTCCAGTAATATCTTTGTGACTCTCAGTTCTTCCAGCGCGCTGCTAAAGACGAGCTGTGTCGTCAGAATAACTTGTATGTCCAGCCGTACGCCTGCTACGAACTTGGCTGTCTCCTCCTAGGCAGGCCAGAGGTAAGAGTTCCTCGTGTGCTCGTGGTCTCCAGCCCAGGAGTGTGCCCACGAGCAGCAGAGAACACTGTTCACTTAGACCGAACCTCCTGCTGGGTTTGCTTTCCTCGGCCTCCTGAGCGAGTCCTCGAGGCTGATGTCAGTTGATGATAATGCTTTTAAAGAGGCAACAATGGCCACCCTGGAATTTGAATTCCAGATGTGACTTTGCGTACAGATCTTCCTTTGTGGGAAGAATCATTGCCCTTTTCAGAGTGGTATGACACGGTGTAGTGCCTTGAGAATATGAGAGCCGTGCCCTGCCTGCCCTGTGTCTTAAAGTGTGCCACTGGTCAAGTTACCGGTGCACAAGCCCACTCCCTAGTCTGCACAGTGGGCAAACCCGGCTTGCCAGTTTACTAAGAGTCATGGTTCGAATAAGTGAAGAGGACACGTGTGAGTCCTTGGAAATTGTTACAACATCACGCACATAACTTGGCAGCTACTATCTATTGATTATGGTGCTGGGGATGGCTCAGTTGGTGAGGGACTTGCCTCCCAAGTGTGAGGACCTGAGTCATGAAAAGCAGGTGTGGCGGCTATAGCCCAGTGCCAAGAGATGGGAGGCAGAGCCCGAGCTCCCTGGAAGGCCACTGAGAGAAACTGTCTCAAAGAAAAAGATGAAAGAACACCTGAGGATAGCCCAGATCATCCTCTGACCTCTACACTCTGTACAGAGAATGCCCCCAAATATGCACACAGAGATGTGTAGGTTAGCAAGTGGGTAATGGGATTTTTGTTGGTTTTGTTACAATCAGGTTTCACTAGTGCCCGAAAATAGTGACTCAAGTTCTTTGAGTCATTTTACCAAAACAGAAAAATAAATAAATAAATAAAAATAAAGTACCTATCACACATTTAGATGGAACGTGAAGCTTTGTGTCCTTTCCTGTAAGGGACTGTTTACTTCTCATGGAGTCTTATCTTAATGTCAACGGCCCTCAGCTCTGGGACCCGCCAGTGTGCACGCTCACTTAGCAGGTCCTCCAGCAGGTGTGGGACGTACTGTCTCCAGCCGAGACTTCGTTACTGTTACCTTAAGTTGTTTAGTAAGACTTTCAGCCTATAACACTGTGCTGAGCCAGATGGTGGTGGTGCACATCTTTAATCCCAGCACTCAGGAGGCAGAACCAGGTGGATCTCTGTGAGTTCGAGGCCAGCCTGGTCTACAGAGCAAGATCCAGGACAGGCACCAAAACTACACAGAGAAACCCTGTCTCGAAAACAAACACAAAACAGTGTGCTGGAATTGTTGCCTTTGTACACACTATCGGGCCATGAACACTTACTTGTCAAGTAATGCCTTAGTGTAAACTAAGAACTAGCTTCACATTAGAGAAAAGTAGGCGTTGTCCTTGGTGCCCCTCGTGCCTCCTCTGGGTTGTTCCAGTTGTGTGTCCTCCACTGATTTGCGGACATGGCTGTTAAGACAGTCTGTTTTTCTTATGTTCACAGACTGTAGGAAGAGGCAGAACTCTACTCCTTCAGGCAAAGGTAAAAAGCACCCCAGTCCCTCTTCCCATGGCTCTTGTCACCCTGTTTCTGTACACCTGGGTCTTAATCCAGGAAAATGTGCAAGTGTTGATACATGTGTAACTAATTCTGGAGAGAACAGTAGCTAAGCAAATCCACGAGCACTTGGTTTTGAAGGGGGGTCTCCAAGATTAGGATAAATTACTATCTAGTCATTCGGCATGTTTATAAGTGCTCTAGTTTTGATAGGGAAAATAAACTGTATTATTAAAATTTTTGAATAGGTCTTGCTGTGTTTCCAGATTAGTATTGCACTCCTAGGCTCCAGGAAGATTCCCCTGCCTCAGCTTTCTGACTAGATGGGACTTCAGTCTTACACCACCATATCCAGCTCCAGGAACAATTAACTTTTGATTTCATAGATATGTTTGAAAAATATTCGTTCTTTTTCTTTTATATATGAGTGTTTTTGCTTGAGCGTATGTCTCTGTACCACATGCCTGGCTGGTGCCTTCAAAGGCCAGAAGAAGGGGTCTGATGCCTGGAATTGGAGTTAAGGATAAGCTGCCATGTGGGTGCTGGGAATTGAACCTGGGTCCTCTGGAAGAATAACCAGTGTTCCTAACTGTTGAGCTGTCCCCTAGCCCCTCCTATGTTTTTGAAGAATTTCCTAACAATGGCTTGCTTTGAGCCCAACTTAAGACTAGTATTTCAAGAATAACATTTTTTCCAGAAGAACTTGTTATCCCCCTGACTCATCCTCTCAAGTGTTGGGATTACAGGCTTGTGCTGTTCACCACTCTAACAGTTTTAAGCACAGTGCCTGAGTGATAGGGAGTAAAAGTATCAGGTGGATGTGAAGTCTCCCCTAGGAGGTAGGGAGTTACTCCAGGGCTGTAAGATGCGGTGCGTGCTGTCCTGTGACACCCGGGGACAGTCATCTTTATCTGGCCCTTGCAGGAGGACTTCTCCGGCTACGACTTTGAAAACAGATTGCACGTCCGAGTCCATGCTGCTCTGGCCTCCCTGAGGGAACTGGTCCCTCAGTGAGAAACTCCAAGTGACCCCTCTGTCCCCTCCACCCTGGGTCAGCACCTGAAAAGCAGAGGAGAAAGCCCCTTGGAAGAGACCACCTGTGCCAGGGATGGTTTCCTGGTGTTGCTGGCATAGTAAAGATTCCTCTTTTAAATATGTAGCTTTGGAGTAATAAAGATGTCAAATGATAAAAATAATCGACCTGGGAGAGGGTTAAGTGACCTTGTTCAAACATTTTAGTTTTGTGATTTATTATTTTTAAAATAAAATCAAACTAAATATTCACCCTGTGGTCTTGTGGCAGCGCCTACATTAAACATAGATCAGAGTGGGCTAGTGTGAATTGTAGCATGTCTCTTGTGTTTAGAAAAAAATTAAAGCGTTTTCTAGTGTTTTACTTTATCCTGGAAATATCCCTATGACTGTTGTAGCACAAACATTCCTGGCTGGGCCTGGTGGCATACACCTAGTCCCAGCACACAGGAGGCAGAGGCTGGCAGGATCTCTGAACAAAATTCTTACCCCTGTTTTACATGCAGCGAGACTCAGGTACAACAGTGGCCGCCAGCTTACTGTAGTCAGTTACTCATATTTCATGGGGCAGTAGCTAAAACGCAGACCTCAGGATCAGGAACTTGATATTATTTTGATATAAAACATGTTAATAACCCGGAACTCCATGCTTAACTTATCAAAACTAAGATGCTCTGCAGCTCAAGTTGCATCAACCATTTTCAGCCCCAGGGCTGGAAGGTGGCTCAGTCAATGCAGTGCTTGACACACAAACACAGGACCTGAGTTCCTGTCCCCAGCACCCACATAAAAACAACAGCAACAAAGCTGAGCATGCCTAAGCACAGATGTAATCCTAGTGCTTGGGGAGCAGAGGCAGGAGGATCCCTGAGCTCCTCACTGTGAAGGCAGTCTTGTTGAAACAGCTCAGGTTCAAGGAGAGGGACAGAAGAAGACCTGAACTCGACCTCCTGCCGCTACATGCACGTACGGTAGACACATACACTCCCCGACACACACATCCCTCCTGGATTGTCTGCACAAGTTCTCAAAGGGAGGCAACACAAGAGAGCAGAGAGAAGCTCAAGATCACCATCATCAGGAGCGCGTCCCTGCTGCCAGTCCTGCCGGAAACCTGTGTTCTAGGAGTTCTTCTGTGGTGAAAAGTGTATGATGATTAACTTTTAGAAACCCTTTAGCACAGTGGTTCTCAAGGTGTGTCATGACCCCTGGGGGTTTGAACAACCCTGCATATGGGATATTTACATTCCAATTCATAACAGTAGCAAGATTACAGTTATGAAGTAGCAATGAAATAATCTTATGGTGGGGGTCACCACAACATGAGGAACCGTATTAAAGGGTCACAGCATTAGGACAGTTGAGAACCACTGCTCTAACATATATCCCACAAAGGCTATTGTAGCGTGAGTGTAGGTTTGTACCTGAGGATATTTGGTGGTAATGGACCTGCAGGGTTGTATATTGCCAGGATTCAGTCACTCACCTCTTACCCCGGGTTATTGGATATTATAAAAAGAACTCAAAGTTGTTTTAGTCCTTTATTGCTGAGCTTTACTGATGATCCAGTTTTCTCTGTGCCCAGCACTGCACAGCTGTGGTTTTGAATAAATACCACAGGCACTTTTAAGAATCTTTGCCATAATTTGGCTCAGTCATCTTTAGGTTTCTAAATTTTCATTGAACTCAAGGTTTTCATTTTAGAGTACAATTCATGTACAAATCCTACTGTTTGAGCCACAGGTTTGTGTGATACCAATTTGTTTGTTTGGTTTTTTCCAGACAGGGTTTCTCTGTGTGGCCTGGCTGTCCCAGAACTAGCTCTGTAGACCAGGCTGGCCTTGAACTCACAGAGATCTCCACCTGCTTCTGCCTCCCCTGCTTCTGCTAGGATTAAAGGCGTGCGCTATCACACCTGGCTTGTGATATCAACATTTTAATACTTAGGAGGTAAAAAAGTAACAAATCAGCTAGAATATTGTCAGATTTCATATTATTTACTCTGATAATGGAAGGATGGGGTATCCTAATCTGGCATTGAAGATTACCTTTAGTGGTAGAGTACTTGGTGTGCTGGAGGCCTGGGTTCTACAACCCCCGAAAACATTTAAATCTTGTTTGAGGAAGTGGTGTCTTTGGTGGAAGTCCTTCCTCACAAACTCTGTCTGTATCATCATTATCTGTCCCTTAGCCCTGGGTCAGCTACTTCTGATTAGACGATTACTGAAGTGGTCATAGTGACATCCTGATGTGGGTCTGGTAGGGAGTGAAGACGTAAGAGAAGATGACAGCCCTGCATTCGATGGCCGAGTACATCCGAGAAGCTCGGGGTGGGGGTGGGGTTCTGAAGAGAAAGCAGTGGCCCCGAATACTGGAAACCTGGTAACTCGAGAGAAAACTATGACCGTTACCAAGTATTCCTCACTTGCCTAGTGTGTGGAAGGTGGTTCTGTCAGGATCACGGAACAGTCTGAGTCATGACATTCTTGCTTTAGTTTTTCTTTTCTGAATTTTCAGTTCAAAACCTTTCAAGCTATTAGTCTATATTCAAAGGTTACATAAAGTCCCATACTTTCAAATTAAATTATTTATAGATTACTTTAAAATTGTTTATATTTTTGCCATTGAAGTTTCCAATTTCAAACCGTCCTATGCCACAGGCTCTCCAGTGGACCTTCCAGTTTGTAAATGTCAAACATATTTTTGTATTAGATTGTACTTTTGGTGAAAGAATGGATATTTTATGTATGCTAAATACATTTTTATAATTTGGCAGACTTGGAGGCATGGCCTAGCGATGACAATGTATTGTGTACTTTTCTGGATGATACAGTTAAGATTTTTATCTTTATGGAGTTAGGTATCTTTTTATTTTAATGCATAGTAGATAAGTCTTCTGAGTAAAGAATTATAACTTTCAGGTGTCACAGATTAGAATATTTATTGTCACAGAATTTATAAACCAATTAATTACTGAGTTTGCACTTTTTCTATTTCTGTGAACTAAAATTAAATGGCAAAGTCTATTGGAGTTTTAACACACACACACACACACACACACACACACACTTTGCTGTGTAAGCTTTTGAAATTGATTTCTTTCTTAAGCAAAATAGTGGCAAGCATTCACATGTGGCCTTATAGCTATGAAGACACACTTTGTGCCATTGTGTTGTGTGGTCTTGCTTGCTTAGGTGGAAGTAAAACAAAGACAGGAGGAAGGTTTATTCTGAACCAAACATGAGTGACCACGCCCAGAAACATTAGTTCAGATTACACGGAATCTGAACGGAATCTAATCTAAGCCACCATAGAAGTGGTTACTTTTGTAGTCACAGAGCAGAGCCCAGTTACAAGTCAAGGTTTGTGCAGATGCTTTGGTGAGGATGTTCGGTGAGTATCCGACAGCACAGTGGTGGAATCTCATGCGGGTTTAGATGCTGATGGGATCGTTAGCATCTATCTGTGTTGGTGGAAACTCCGGGGCTGCTATAATACATTCCCAAAGGTCTTGCCCTACACCCAGAAGAAGGATGTTGTTAAACCACACAGAGGCGGGCAAAAAAGGGCTAGCCAGGGGACTAAAGATAGCCCAAGACAATTGTGGCCTTTGATTTGCACTACTACACTTCTCCACAGCATTGGAGTTTGACAGTGAGTCTTCCAGGGAGCTCCAGTCCATAAAGGAAAACGTGGGCCTAGATCACTGCAAGAAAATGTTGCAGAGGTTAGTGCTGGGAGGTGCAGGAAGAGGAAAGGACCATGGGAGCAGGACGGGAAGCCGGTCCAGAGCAGTGCAGTGTGGTGAGACCCCCCACGCCCCAGATGCGGTTATGGTAAGACACCCCCCCCCCCCAGGTGCAGTGTGGTGAGACCCCAGGAGACTGCTCCCTGTCTCTGGGCGGCTTGGGTGTGCGATGGGGCTTGATCCTAATTAAGGAGAAAAAAGCGGCAGGCAAGCTTCCCAGGAGGGAAAGTATGCCGTTGTAGTGGGCAGCCATTCCAGCTTTGATCTGGAAGTTCCAACCCCCATTGAGACTTCGGCAACTGTCACGCCTACAAGGTGGGGCCAAGGGTGGCGCCTGGGGACCCGAGAGCTGGATCAGCGGGCGCTCTCTCTGTTGCGGGACCCTGGATAGTACCGAGCAGAGCTCCAGAGAACACCGCTGGACTGTGATACACCTTCCCCAGACTCCGCGACCTACCTATTCCTTAATTTGTAAGTTACGCCATTAAATAAATCTCCTTTTAACTACGTGGAGTGGCCTAAATAATTTCACCAATATGCCGTGCTTGTAATTCCCTCTGTTGTTTTGCGTGGCAGAGCTTATTCTTTGTAAACATACCAAGACGCTTAGTATCAAGGAGTTGCGGGGAAAGGAGGCGGCAAGGTCAGAATAGCCAGCTGCGAATGTAGTTTTTCTTCCCTATACACCAATGTTTGTTGTTCTTGTTTCTTTGAGACAGGGTCGCATGAATCACAGACTGGAAATCACCGTGTCCTCCTGCCTCGACCTCCCAGAGCGGGGGTTACAGGCGAGCACCTCCGGGCCCTGTCTTCTGAGGTGCTGGGGACTGAGTCCAGGGCCTCGTGCACGTTAGGCAAGCTCTGCCAACTGGGCTGCATCCTCAGCCACCGGCCCGGTGATCAAGCATGGGGCCGCAGCCCCGGCCCCGGAGAACGTCAGCTCCCGCCCAGGAGGGTCCAAAGACAAAGGTTCCTTCTCCCGCCCGTTCCACCCGGCCTTTGTCCTCCGGCTCCTCATTGGCTGGGTCGGCCGAAGCCTCGCCTCTTCCGGTGGGCCCCAACAAAGGGGCGGGGCTCTGTGACGCACGCATGACGCACGCAGGAGTATAAATAGTCGGCGGGCCGCGGGCTCTCCCACAGGAGCCGCCGGCGAGGGGGCAAAGAGGAAGCTTTATTGAAGCCGGAGAGAAGGTGGGCCTGGCCCGGCGGGACGGCGCCGGCCGAGCCCCGGAAGGCAGCGGGCCGACAGCGGCGGGAGGCCGCTCGGAGGGAGAGACGGGGGTCGGGCGGGAGTCTCGCGGCCCCTGCCGAGCGCGGCGCGGAGGGCCCGGTCCATGGCCCCGAAGTCCCCGCTAGCGTCCCACCCGGGTAGTGTCAGGGGCACGTTCCAGAGGATGCGCCTTTCCAGAAAGGCCGCTCTTGGCGAGGGTTCTTGAAAATTAAGAGCTAAGGTATCACTTGAACAGCCCTCCGTCAGCTGGGTTGGTGACAGGTCTGGTGCCACCTCGCTGCTGCTACCGCCTTTTCTCAGTCAAGGAAGTTCTTGGGGACAGTCCGCATCACATCCCTGGCTTTCAAGTGTTCCTAAACTGAGACTTGGTACTAGCACCATCCCACTGCCGCCTCGTGGTTGGTAGCACCAATTACCTAAGGAGAGAGTGTTGTGCCTGCTCCATTTTGCCTGCTGGTCACTTTGAAAACGGCTCCTGGGGTGTTTATTTAAAAACAAAAGCAAAAACATATACATATGTATATTTGTGTGTGTATGCTTATGTGTTGCAGATCACTGCCATTTAGCGTGTGGGTGTGGTAAAGCTGCGTTTCCCCCAAAAGATGGCTTAATTCGGTAATGCATCTGATGAGTAAGGGATTAAACATTTCATTGTAGTTTTGAAAGTTTTGGGTCAAAATTTATTTTTGCCTGGCCTTTAGTAAACCGAAAGGTGCTTTTAAATAAAAACATTTTGCTGTGGCATATTGTGTTTTTATTAAAAGTTGGCCCTTGGTATAATTGTTATAAACTATGCCACTAAGTCCCATAAAACATGTAAGGGTGGTAGGGCATGATTCATTGTCAAGGTAGTCGGCTCTTTATAAGTACCCATTCTTAAGGTAGTTGTGTCTAGAACAGCTGTGATTTCCCCTAAGCAACCTTATTTTTTTTAAATATCTCAAAGTCTGGATGATTTAAGCACCTCTTTCATATCTGGTGGCTCCTTGGTAGCTCAGGACCCAATTTAATACCCATATTTAGCAAAAGATGGGCAGCACTGTAATTTTTCCCTTACTAAAGAGATTCAATTTTTCACTTATTTGCAAGCTTTCATGTTTCAGAGTGAACACACAATTTAGGGCCGACAAACAATACACCCATGGGAATTATAGGTTTAGGTGTGTCCAACTTGCAGCTTGTGCCCCAGGACAGCCACAAGTGCAGCCCAACATGTTTGTACATAACATAACCCATGTCAAAAGTTAGTACAACCCCTAGATTATGTAACACTCGGGGTACCACGTGAAAGTCATCAAGGGGATGGATATGGTAGCCCAAATCTTTAATCCCAGCACCCAGGAGGCAGTGACAGGTGGATATCTGAGTTCGAGGCCAGCCTAGTCAACAGAGAGCGTTCCAGGCCAGTCAAGTCTAAAGTGGGGTAGGGGTGGGGGTCAGCAAGATAGGAGAAAAGGGAAAACAGGAAGAAAGTAAAGGGTAATTTGATTAAAGAAAGAATTATATATTATGGATGTGGCATAGTACAGTACGATAGATATACCTAACATTAAAAAATAACTCAGCGGTAGAGTGCTTGCCTAGTATTATTTGGGAAAGTCCTGGGTTCAAGTCCCAACACCAAAGAGAAACAAAGCAAAACTTGTCTTCTAGAATGTGGGAAATGTGTCTAGGGATATATTTAGGAAAAAATGTCTTTTTCCTGTACTCTACAAATTAGTGCCTATATTTGGATATTATTTGGAAATATATGTGCTTAATTTATCTTTATTGAAACATTGGATTTTATGTGTTTTATTTGGTCCTAAAATGTATTATTCTGGTAATCCTGGCAGGGCGTTTCCTATTGATTTAAAGTGTGTGTGTGTGTGTGTGTGTGTGTGTGTGTGTGTGTGTGTGCATGTGTGCGCGTGCCACTTGTGGAAGTTAAAGAACTGCTCTCTAGAGGAGTTCATTCACTCCTGCTACCTTGTGGGGTCCCGGATTAAACCCAGGTCTTCAGGTCTTGGGAAAGCACGCACTTGATGTTTCTTAGTGAGTGCTGGATCCCTTGTTTGTGCAGAGTAGGCAGGGGGTAGTGGTTTATTTTGTAAATTGTTACCAAGGATTACACACTATGTTACCAGAATAAACGCTTAGAGATTGGAAGTAAAGCTAATAATTTTAATAGATTTGGTTTTAGGACCCCCAATTAAATCATGAGAAAATTCAGTAACTGTAATGTACAGTATAAGATTTTGTTTCTCTTCATTATAGTTGAAATTACAGACATCCTGCCAAAATGATTTCTTCAAAGCCCAGACTTGTTGTACCCTATGGCCTCAAGACTCTGCTTGAGGGAGTTAGCAGAGCCATTCTCAAAACCAATCCAACAAACATCACCCAGTTTGCAGCAGTTTATTTTAAAGAACTCATTGTGTTTAGAGAAGGTTTGTATTGCTTTAGATTCTCTATCTGCTGCTTTGCAAAATCATTTTCAATTGAAAAATATCTCCATTTGACTTCCTGCATTTATTCGTTCAGGGAATTCATCTCTGGATATAAAAGATCTGATTAAGCAGTTTCATCAGACAAAAGGTAAGTGCCCCAGAGATGCTCACTTCAACAGTGTTGCCATAACATACTTGGTAACACACATTCGTAATTATGCCAATAGATACCACACAGTGGTTTATGTGTGAGTAAGCATACTGGTGCTTTCTCTTTTTACTAAGTCACTTTTAGTTTATTTTAACATCAGGATTTCCAGTTTAGAAGGTTTTAAATCTTAAAAAGAGCTTATTTTGGGGCCGGGGGATTACTCAGGGCTGGTAGTAGAGCACTTACAAAGCACACGTGAGGCCTTGGGTCAGTCCTAAAGCCACAGATTCCACTTGGAACAATGAATACACAGGAAGGTCTAGAACAGTACAGATGAACTGGTTCAGACCCTCTCTACTGCACACCTGTAGGAAGTACAGGGGAATTTAAGAGAACGTGTACTTCACAGTAAATTGTAGTAAGGCATTTTGTAAAATTGTACAGGTTACCATCAATTATTTAAAATGCTCCAAAATCCAAAATGAAAACGAATACAATGTTCAAAGTCTCTGTTTTAGAGTATTTCACATCCCTGGTTTTCAGGGTAGGGATTCTCTACTAATAGGCTTTGTAGATACTCTAAAATATTTTTTTAAACCTCAAAATCTGATGCATTTCTGATAAGGAATACTCAAGATGTATACACTTTTTAATGAAGTAGAGCTAGGGGTTTTATGAGAGATATTTCAATGTAGGCTTAAGCATGGAGGTTAGGAGAAAGTTTGCTCTTACCTACTCTACACAGAGCAGCCATCTTTGCCCCCCAGTCTGCTGAAAGAGTGAGCAGATGTTTCTCATGGAACAGTAGTTTCCTCCACATCTTGGGCATTGTGACATAGTAGCATATGTATGTATAGAGGAAGTTGTTTTCCATGAATTTGCAAATTGAATGTAGCAGCATGAAACAGTTGGCAGAGAAGCAACTGTTTACAAAGGGTTGTAAGAAAATGCAGATTATTCTAAGTTAAAAAAGGTGAAATTTGGTAAATAATGCATCTAAAAGAATGGTGAGGAAAGCTTCTCTCAGAATTTTGTGTTGAGGTAAAATGACTCCTGGCCGCTGTGGGAAGTAGCTGAATAGTTCTTACCCTATAGACTGACCAACAGCTTTTGGATGATTGGAGAGTAGTTACCAGCCACCCTCAAACTGTCATTAAAAAAATAAATAAGGTTTCTTCTAACGATTTATGTGGATGAGTGTTTTCCTGCGTGTATGTAGTGATGCACATACATACACACGCCACCTTCTGCAGAAGCCAGAAGAGGGTGCTGGGTCCCCTGAAACTGGAATTATAGGCAGTTGTGAGGTACCACACAGATGCTGGGAACTAAACCCGGGCTCTCTGCAAGAGCAGTGAGCTCTCGATTACTGAGCTGCCTCTTGAGCATCCCTCTCACCTTTACACCTGAAGTGTTCTTTTGAATTTACTTGTATTTATTTGTTGTGTGTTGTGTGCGTGTGCACGCTATGGCACACGTGTAGGTTAGAGGACAACTTTTGGGAGTTAGCTTTCTTCTTTGTTCATGTGGGTCCCCCAAACTCAGGTCATCAGGCTTGGCAGTACCTTTGCCTCAATGGTTCAAACCATGTCATTTTTGTGAGTCAAAGATAACCACAGCTACAAGAAGTTAGGGAGTCGGGTCTAGGAGAATGCCAACATCAGGATGGCTGGCTCTGCAGTGAAAGACACCTACAGTAGGAAATCCCCATGAAAAGTAGGAAACATGGGCATTGGAAGGGGCAGAGAACGAGGTGTGCACTGTTTCTGGAATGTTGCACTGTCTGGTACAGCTGCTTTCTTACAAGTTCCTGATGACATTACTAGCTAACGACAAGAAACTGTGGGACTTGCTTATGTATTCTTAGCCGCATATACAAAGTGAGTCCAAGAACACTGCTCTTTCTATATCCATGATCCTAGTTTCTCAGTCAAGGCTATTGTTTTGTGTCTTCAAAATGAGAGTTGCATTAGCAAATACTCCCTTGTTTCATAATAGCGAGACTGAGTTTTTATGGTGGAAGATAACTACCTGATAGCACATTTCATTTTAATGTGGATTTGGTTAATAATATGTAGTTTAATGTTTTTGCATCTCAAATTTTTTAATTAATTTGGATTAACCAACTAACAAAATTTGTAGGCCAACTATACTTTTGATGGCATTAGAGGAGATATGGCTGTTTATCTCTTCAAATAACTACAGATATCAACAGACAGGCATAGCATACAGATAATCTGAAAGGAAGCTCACAGTGTGGTTACAAAAACAGATTGCCCTTTAGGGAGTAAAACAGTGGTAACATGGCTTCATTCTGGAGAGGTCATGAGGCCGCATGAAAGTATGACCAGGATACAGTTGTCTGATCTCATCTTGGCGCATTAGTCTGCCTTTTGTTGTCACCACAAATGGCTTACCAACAAATATGACCATTTTCAAGTTAGAATATATATATGATGTTTCCTAATGTGAAAAGCCACAGTGCTCCAGATGACAAATTCACGGTTAAACTTTTCGAATGGATTTTCTTAAGTGGAGGAATACATATCTGTGTGTTTCCTTTCTAAGTTATGACACCAACTGCAACTGTGGAATGATTTACTTCCCACCCTAATCTTTAGTTTTTCCTTTGCTCATATTTGGTTTTGTGTGTGCAGGTTTGCATGTGTGGACATGGTGCATGTGGACGCCCAAAATGGACACTGGTCACATGCCACACTATTGAGGCAGGGTCACTCACTAAACTCAGAGCTTGCCAACTCCTGCTAGCTAGCTTGCTCTCAGGCGTGCCTGTTCCTCCCTGTTTCCCCAGTGCTGGGATTTTAGGTGACATTCCAATTATCCTGCCCAGTTCTCACAGGGCTGGGTCATCTCCTCAGTATCCCCACCCACTTCTTTTTTGGTGAGACAACAGACTAGGAGGGTTCAATTCCTTCCCTTTAGGAACTGAATATCAGTTTAGAGTGGTATGATACTGGTTTTATACTATATATGCTGGTCATTTATTTCTAAGGAAATGAATTGTTTAGGTGGATATGAGTTGTTACAGGTTCACTAGCTATGCTAATAAACAGATGTTGCACATAGATCTGTGTATATTGGTATTTGAAAGTTCAACCTACCTGCTTTATTGAAAACATTGTGAGGAGTGTTTGCTGATTAACTCGTCTGGCTGTTATTTTTAGTAGAGAAATGGGCAGAAGGAGCGACATTGGAGAAGAAAGAATGTGTAAAGGAATCAGGAAGAACACCTCCAGTTTCCTGCGAACCTACACGGATGGAAAAATCCACAGACACAGAGGAGGACAATGTAGCTGGACCACTATTTAGCAACAAAACCACCCAGTTTCCATCAGTTCATGCTGAACTCCAGCCTGAGGAGACATGTGAAGGAGTTTGGGGTCCTTCTTCCAAACCAACCACACCTAAGACTACCACTCCACCCACATCACCACCTCCAGCACCTGTCTCTGCGGAGTATGCCTATGTCCCGGCTGACCCAGCTCAGTTTGCTGCTCAGATGTTAGGTAATGTCTCACCTACTCATTCTGAAGTTTTAATGGTGGACGTGGCAACAAGTACACCCTCCGTTTTCCAGGAGGCACTGAGTGCGGAGTTTGCTGAAGAAGTCATGGTGTCTGCTCCTCTGGTGTGCTCTGGAGAGATGGTAGCAGTGCAGGTTATGAGCCAAACATCTGCGCAGGCAGTTGTGGGTCCTAAATCTAAGGCTGAACCATCAAAGGCTTCCTCAGCCCCCTTGCAGGGTGAACAAGAACCTCCTGCTTATGAAGCTCCTGACACTCAGGCTACATCACCCTTTCATGTACCATCCGTATGTAACGATGTGCCTGTCAATGAAGGAGTTGTCTATGTTGAGCAGATACCGGGATTCATAGTTATCCCTTTTAATGATCAAGTTGCTTGTTCTAAAGAAAATGAGCAGTCACCACCAGTTAGTCCCAAACCAGTAGAACCCAAGACCTCCTCAGGCATGTCTAAACTATCTGTAGAGTCTCTGAGAATTGTGCAGGTGGAGAATTCCCAGCACCAGTCCTCAGTACACATGGAGGCAGAAGCTACAGTTCTGCTCTCTAACACTGCTTTAGATGGTCAGCCCGAGGTACCTGCAGAACCCCTGGATGCAGAGGGCTTTGTCAAAATAGCCTCTGAAAAATCTCTGCACCTTGAAATGGAGATCGTTACCATAGACCCTGACAATCCTGGCCAGGAGGAGTCAGGGGAGAACTCTGCACCCTATTCATCTGGTGACCCTTTCCCTCCTGCGCCAGGAGGCTTTACTGAACCTGAAATCCAACCAGATGGGGAAGATGCACCTGAACAGGTTTGATGAACCCAGGTAAGAAAATTAGATACTTGTACATTCACATACTGCGTTTCAGGTAACATCTGTATTCAATAACCATATATACAGGTTGGCTCTCCTGCCGACTGGCCAAAGTCCATTTTTGGGTTTTTTAAATGCCAAACCTACTTAAAGGCTTTGTTGTACTTAAAAATTTACTATTATACAAATCACATGGCACTTTCAAAGGCTGATTCATTTTGCACGTTTGTCAACATAGGAATCTGTTAGGTTTTTTAATGCCTGTTTACAAAATGGTTATTAGGAGAACTAACCTTGAACACTGCCTTTATTTGGGCTATGGCATTTAAAACGTTAAAGAAATGGTGGTGTGGCTGACTGCTTTCGCACTGAGTCAGGAGAACTATGCAACCGGGCTTGGGATGCTGGCTCAGACACTGCCTCGCTTGGGACCTTCCTGTGGCTGAGGGGCAGCGTCACAGCTGGATGGAGAGAGGACACGTTAGACTGAACTTCTGTGACACAGGAAACCAGCAGAAAGAAAACAGCGTGTGCAGTCCACATGCGTGGGTCCTTTGGTCACTTAACCCCAGGCACACCGAAGTCCAGCTGCTTTCCTCCTGACACACAAGTGATATAACCTCCATCTCCATCTGATTATGGAGCCTCCCATTCCTCTTGCAGAAACTCTCAACTCTGACTCAAACCAGAACGATCCAGAACTAGTACCAATGCAGGTGTTAGCATCAAATTCTGACTGGCAGTGTGAAGATTTGCTGCAGCTGGAAAGGCAGGGCAGCGCTACCCGGAGCCTGTGCGGCCGGCAATAGCCTACGGCTTGAGCATCTCCTCAACAAGTCACTGTTTTCAGGCCCTTAGCTGTTACTGAAGGACAGCTGTGCTCAGCGGACAGTTACCAGGAAAACTCAGTTCGAGGTCTTAGACTCTCCCATCTGGAAAGACTGATTTGGATTGTATTTTTAGGAAGCTTGAAGACAAACTGAATTTGTCTGAAGCAATCAAAAGCATCACTTAGTCTGTGCATAGTGAACTTTTCTGTGAAGAGAGAAGGCTGCACCCAGAAATGGAAGACCTGATGTTCAAAACACGAACTTGACACATTTGAGTCCCTACCTTTGGCAGGGCACACTCGGCACTGTAGAGCCCCGCTTTAGGTAAGCTGATGGATGGCTTTTCTAGCTCTCTATAGTAAAGTGTCCACCAGCTTTTTGCTGTCTTCTAAGGCAGATGGTGGTCCAGCCTTGACTAAAAGGAGTCCTCTGCAATTCTGACTCCAGACTGGAGATGGGAGATGACAGGCCTGTCCAAAGACCAGGGACATTAGGTGACATGTAGTGTCTGACTTTGGGGGAGGAGCTGCTATGCAGATGTACTATCATGATTTTTAATTGGCTTCCCATGCTTTGTTTTTATTTTTGGTAAAGTAAAAAGTTTTGTTAACCTTCTTCTGAGGACCATGTAGAAGCCACATATAAAGTTTAAGATTCTGGTTAGGCATGATGGTAATTCTAGCTCTTGGGAGGCTGTGGCAGGAGGACTGCTAAGAGTTCAAGGCCAGCCTGGGCTCACAGTGACACCTTGTCTCAAAGAGCCAACAGTGTAAGAGTCTGGAAACAGCAACTTAGAATACAATTGCTTCTTTAGCCGCAACTCTACTGACCCTGCCATTGCTATCAATTCCTTTTCCAACTGTTCTGAGTCATTCTCTTCCTTCACATTACCAGGCACAATTTCTGTAGTCCTCTCTATAGCATGCTTTATGGCACATACTATTACAGTTGCTTATTTATATGTTTAAAAAAAAGATTTACAAAGATATGACTGTGCATAGTGCCTGATACAGAGACAAACCTTTAACGCCTGCAATTTTTTTTTTTTTATAGCACTAGCAACAAGCGAAGCAGGACAACCACCACCATATTCTAATATGTGGACACTTTATTGTCTAACTGATATGAATCAACAAAGTCGCCCATCACCGCCACCTGCACTTGGGCCTTTTCCCCAAGCGACCCTCTATTTACCTAATCCTAAGGATCCACCACAGTTTCTGCAGAATCCACCGAAAGTCACTTCTCCAACCTATGTGATGATGGATGACAGCAAGAAGACCAGTGCCCCACCTTTTATTTTAGTAGGCTCAAATGTTCAGGAAGCGCAGGATTGGAAACCTCTTCCTGGACATACTGTGGTGTCACAGTCAGAGGCCTTGAAGAGATATGCTGCAGTACAAGTGCCCATTGCTGTTCCTGCAGATCAGACATTCCAGAGACCTGCCCCCAACCCCCAGAATGCCAGTCCTCCTACAAGTGGACAAGATGGCCCCAGACCGAAAAGCCCAGTCTTTCTTTCTGTTGCTTTCCCAGTAGAAGATGTAGCTAAAAAGAGTTCAGGATCTGGTGACAAACGTACTCCCTTTGGAAGTTATGGTATTGCTGGCGAAATTACTGTGACTACTGCCCATGTCCGCAGAGCAGAACCTTAAGAGTAGGTAACCCTTCCTACCTTGATGTGTGGGCCTTAACACAGCTGAGCCTTCAGCACTTAGAGGCTGGGATAGTTAAACACTTGGTAATAATGGGGTATCCTTCAGTTTATGGGCTTGGCTCCCAACTACAAAGCTGCTAATGAATGCCCAGCTACCTTTGAGTATATGGCAGATTCTAAAAAGAGAATAGTATAAATTTGAATTTTTCTTTAAAGTAAGGATAATCAATTTTTAAGAAACAGGAACAGAGATAGGATACTAACATGTCCATGTAAGAGGTTAAATTCAACTAGGCTTAATTGGGATTTTAAGACAATTTTATCACTCAATTTGGCTTAATGTCAAGCTTTTCCCTTCAGTGTGGACAGTGGGTTGAGTAAGACATGGCCCCGAGTGTAGGAGACGAGCACTGTCAAGTGTTCCAGGCCTGTGGCTGAGGAAAGCTACGGATTCTGAACTAAGTTAAGCCATTGTAATGCTGGGGGGTTGGGAGGGGGTGGCATTTCAGTTGTGTAGCCAAGAGGCCAGGCACAGTGGACTGCCTGAGGGTGGCAGGAACTGCTAGGATATTTTTGATTAGAAAAGAGCTTAGGAACAGAAGGAATGTAGATCAGATTTCACTCATTCCATGATATTTAAACAGTTCAATGTCTCTTCATTAACAGATACTGAAAATGATGCTGTCTGAGTCAGCATTCAAGGTGGAGTCTGTCACCACGTGAACTGTATCAATAAACTTCCTGCAAGCATAAAACTTTGCATTGTTGTTTTAGTAACTTAGCAGGTGTACAAACTGCCTTAACATTGTCCAGCTCATACATGTACAGTGGTGTCAGCTAGGCAGCAGTCTCTCTGGCCCTGGGGACACCTTTGAATGTTAGGTTACAATATCAGCTGAAATTCTGAAAACAGTCACACTTTTTTTTTTTTAATATTCTAAAGCCTTTATTTAGCATCATTATAACACTTGTTAACTTTAATACAATTAAAATAACTTACTGGAAGCTACCTAAGGCCCTTTAGGGCAAGTATCTCAGTCTGGATTTGATTGGATAAATACTATGAGATTACCCCAATTAAAGGGGCAAAGCTACTGTACAGTAGGTCTCCAGTACCTTGCAAACTCAAAATGCACAAGGCCTCCTCTTACATAGATTATAATACAGAGTGCAGCTTAATTTCTTGGTGGCATTGCCACTAGAAGTTGAAGCTTAAATGTTTGTCATTAGGTAATGATATCGATTAAAATCTATTTCTAGGGCATTTTTGTGATTTTCAGTTCAAACATATAATTTAACCCTGTAAATTCTAATGACAGTGATCACAGAATGTGAAAGTAAATTCAGAGCACGAAGATGAGTAGATACCTTTTCCCATTTAGAATTTTCAAATCAGGAATCCTGATTCTGCCCCACCCCTTTTTGGAGGTGAGAAAGTAAAATTGAGGGCTAATTTCCCTGAAAGGCCATCTTACCAATTTAGTTTTTATAAAATAACAACCTTTACATTTGTGCACATAACATTGTACAGAAGAATTCTAAACATTTCAAAGCTACACCTAAGATTCTCAAGCATAATAGCATAAAAATATTCAAAATAACTTGATTTTTGGATCACTAGAATTCCACAAAGCTGAGTGTTAGACTAGGTATAGACTCCGGCGCATGTGGGGACAGGTCAGCACCTCCATCAGCTTCTCACTTTGCATAAACAGTATTCCAAGTCGTCAGACCCACGAAGCAAAACGTCTCCTTTTCCCTCCGACCTTCACCAGTATGACCATACGCCCTACCTTGTTGGGTGAAATGCAAATCATAGAGGAGTAGAAACCAAGGGAAAATTTTTAAAAACTTAAGCTTAAGACTTAATGTAGATTAGCCAAACACCTTGACTTCTCTGCACTTTAATAAATATCAGGCAAATTGAAGTAGTTTCTGTCCCAGTAGCTGCCAGAGTAAATCCAGTCCTGTGCTCCATTGTGAGGGTTAGGACCTTGATGGAACCACCTGTCCAATGAGAAAGGATAAAATTTAGAGAGCAAATGCCTCAAAACCCACAGAATACTGTTGTTTAACTAGATTATAGTAGTTGGCTCTGTGTGTCATGGATTTCCTCAGAGACCCTAAAGAAGAGAGAGTTTTTCTAGTCAGAGAATATGTATCCACACTACTCGAAAGGGTCTTTAGTCAAAAGTTGTTACGATCTAGCTCTACAGCAGTTATCAATGAGTACTGTGATCTGTTCTCTTGTGATCACCCATGAGGAGGCATTCTGTGACGCAATCAGGAATAAGGAATTAGCCCATGGGAACACATACCTACAGCAGGCAGGTGTACAGTGCCCGTAGGGTTGGTTCATAGGCACCCTCCACTTTACAAGAGAGCTGTCTGTCAGAGCAGTCACACCTGCTGGTGGCCAGACTGGCCGTGGCAGCAGACAGGTGTGAATTTAAAGGCTGATTTCCCCTCTGCTATGCCATGTACACCCAGTGAGATGAACTCAGTCCAGCCTTTATTGGGTCTCAATTTGGATTCCTGAGCTACATCTAGCTTTCATTTTAACTTGTCCTAATGATCAAATGAGCTGCCTGAATCATTTCCCTGTCTCTCAAGAAATGTAGCACCCAAGCCAGGTACGGCAGTGCACAGGAGTCCAGCATTTGGGAGCAGCTTTTACACCGTACTTCAGAGTTTAGGGACCCCTTTACTCAACCACAGCAGCCATTTACCTGGGTTTTATACCCACATGTCCTTTACTCATTTTTTGGCAAAAGCTATTATGTGAATAAATCCAAAACATTTGGGGTAGAAGCTGTAACAGCATTTCTAGATCTTTTTGTAAGGTGTGAAATGACTATCATGTCTACTGGAATGCTTATAAAATTATGCCCATGTTGGCTTTAACATTTACTTAAGTGGATCACAGATTAGCAGTTACAAGGGACTCTAATAAAACAACTACTAAGTAACTCCCAGCCCAATCAAATAGTCATTTGATACTGTCTAAAATATTACTTTTTCTAAACCCTAATTTTAGCATGTTTAACCCCTTATGTTTGGAAAAGGTACTCCCTAAATTAATGATGCATGATATATGCACACATGAGCCTGTAATTTACTCTTAGACGTGAGCAAATAAATAATTTTCATGCCCAAATCTAAATCTGCATTGTACTCTCCCTTTTCAATATTGAAGGAATGTTGGATAGGGAGAAAAGAGAAATTTGCTTAACTAATCTCACCTGTAATGACTGTGCAAAAACATTCTAACTTTAACTTCTCCAGTCATTTCTCTTTCACAAACACAACTCTTAGTTTTACCACTTTAATACTGCACTCTGGAAACCACGTCCTCTGAGGCCTGGAGCAGACCAGCAGGGCTCTGGACCCTTGCTCTGTGGTTCACACACAGCAGCCTTCTAAGCCAGAGTAGGGCACATACCTTGTCTTCCAGTCCTCTTCTGACTTGGACCTGTTTTTGCGGGCTGCTCTTTGTTTTTCCTCAAGCCGTTTCTTTTCTTCACTAGCTTGATCTAAAAAATAAGGGCAGTGAAAAGCAAGTTCTGCTGAGGATGCCAGGCATGGGCCTAAGGACAGGAGCTACAGACAGCACTGTCCATATGGACCCTCATTACACACCCTATAATCAAGACACAATCCTGATGCACACTGGTACGGGCTGGTGGCACATGTCTGGAATCTCAGATGTTTGGAAATTGAGGCAGGAGGATCCTAAGTTCAAAGCCAGCTTGAACAACTTAGTAAGACCCGTTCTTAAAAAGTAAAACAGAGAGCTAGAGATGTATCCCAGTAGTAGTTTATGGGATGCATGAAGCCCCACGATCAACTCCCAGAACCAACTAAATCAGACAAAAGAATTAACATTCTCGAGACTAATCACAGGAAGAGTTGGCACCTGACAGTCATGTATTTTTGTTTTTTTCACCTTTTACTGTGTAAGAATTTCATATATGTGTACAATGTGCTTTGATAAATGCCACCCAGCAGCCCCTGATTTTACCAGAAACAACATGCTTATTTTCACAGCCACAAATGTTAGGCTAAAATGCTTCAATGAAAACTTAGTAGAAAAACTGAATAAAAGTGAGATTATTGAAAAGTCTGAGTGATACTCAGATATTTCCTTCAGTCCATTTCTAAGTAATTCAAACGGCTTTACAGAATCCTTTGTTGGGTCTCTCTGTAGAGAGAACCCTGATACACACACACGGAAGAGACAGTCTGTACTGTCCAAGGCTTCCTGTGCATGTTGCGAATGGGCTGGATGCACTACCTCAGTAAAGCTGCTGTTTCCCTGGAGGGGAAACGGCCCCTTGTGAGGTCGACTGAGTCATCAGAAGTGTCACAGTTTAGGACTATGTGTTACTGAAGAGGAAGCCACGCTCTAGGATAAAACTCTGAGTACTGCAAGGACGAACGGAGACCCAAATGAACGGAGACCCGAATGAAGTGACCCAGAAGCCCCGCCCTGAGGGCGGATCCCTCACCTATCTCTCCATTCTCCATGGCTCTGATGTCCGGCCGCAGCCTACAGTCAGTTTTAGGAATCACACTCTCCATCTCCTTGTCTACTTCATTCAAAACCATTGCAAAGCTGGTAAAATTATACATCTGAAACATAAACAAGCAGTCAAGTCAACACCTGCCAAGACCAGCAGAAAGCCCGGAAGGCATCTAATCTGGCAGTGACACCTCCCGTGGCCGGAGTGCTGGTCAGCCTTTCTCAGAGAACATCGCTAAAGGCCCCCACCTCTATCTGCACCACCCTGTGGACATTCAGCTCACAGCAGACCTCCCAGGGTAGCACACCCACACCCACTCTGCTTTCTTCATTAAAATCATGTCCTGCTGGGGCTGGAGGGTCTACACTGGTCAAGCGTATCAGTCTGTTTAACAAGGGTGAGACCCCCAATGAAGATCCATCCAGCCCACCTCCCGGCTTGACAGAGCGCCCTCTGGTTAAGGGGGGCGTGTGACATATGGGCAGCAGAAGGAGACAATAAAAGGACACAGGCTCTGCTGCCTGAGGAAGGGCACCATGCAAGCTGGATACTAAACAGTTCCTGGATTTAACAGGCCCATGCTCACCTGAGCAGAGTTAGGAGGCCTTGGGGCTATCCTCCACAGGAGCACACTTCCAGGAATAATGAAGACGCTCTCAGAATCTGGCACTGGCATTTCATCAGACTCCTCAGATGAACTTGTCTAGAAGGCAAAGCAAGGTTTTAAATATACAGCTATGTGCTCTGAAGACTGAACAAGGTCTCATAGCATACACAGAAGAGCTGAGACTCCTAGTCCAAAAAGCATCTCTCCAAAAGGTCAGACAGAGGTTGGGGGATGTGCAGGTACACAGCCCAGGGCAGGAGGATCTGAAAGGACTTAGCTTCCATGGTGTCCTTAGCTTCTAGGAGCTATGCCTGGAGCCTATGCTGGTTGTCAATCACCCTGCACTATGAGTGCAGAGCGTCCCTGGCTCTCCAAAGCAACATGGGCAGTCCCCTAGATGCAAGTCAGCAAGGAGGCTGACAGCCTCCAGCTAGCTGGAGTAACTGAGCAACCCTGGGGAGACAGCAGTCACAGAAGGGGATGAGAAGAGGCGCCTGGTCTTAAGGCACCTGGAGGCAGAATGAGGTGGTCATAGCTGCTTATCCAGACCCTGGAGAAGCCCGAGACAGAGCAGGGCTGCTGGGCGCGCTGTTTGTCCCTGCTCCTGCCATGATGACAGAGGGCT